GCCAAAAATTTGTCCCCCCCCCCCCCCCCCTTCCTCCCCACCAGTGTTCACTACCAATTTTAAAGAAAACCACATAACTTAGATTGATTCCATCTTGGGCTTTTATGAATGTCTGTACCTAGCCTTAGATTATGTGTTTTTTTTTTTCCCTATCTTTTCCACAGGGCCCAACTCGTATGACTCCCGATCTTGCTTCCTCTCCTTCAGCAGGATATGTCCCTGTGGGTCAGAAACCTGAGGCTGTCGTGCATGCTATGAAGGTAGGTATGCGTCCAAGCCACACACTAGGTGCACATACATAGTTGCACCATTAAGAATTTTCTTTAGTCATAGAATCGGAGCAATTAGAGAGGTTTAAATGCTGGTCAGCCAGATTAATGCTGACTGACAGCTGTGTCACCTCAAGTAGCTGTCTATTTAGAATTTATGAGCGTGGCCAGTTACTGGAGGGAAGTGCAGGGGAAGGGGGGCTTTTGAGGGAAGTTCATGGTGCTGCAGATGTGTTACTGTTTGACGTAATGTATCGTGGTGAATCTGCATTTCAAGGTATTGGATTAAGCAGTAGTGAAGGTGCCACATGAGTGACAGTGCTTTGCAGTTTTCCAAAGACAAAAAATACAGAGTTATTTACATACGTAAAAACTAGGGCTACATACACACCTGGACACCCGAGTCATCAGTGGGAATTGAAACCAGGACCCTTCAGCAGAAAAAGTCACAGAATCTCCACCCTTTTGAGGAAAGGACAGCTATAAAGTCACTGAGACCAGCCATTAGATGGAGAAATACTTGCACATATTAGATAGACCATATAAAATCATGGCTTTTTATGTCCCTTTGTATGCTGAACCATGGCTGCGTTAGAATTGGTTGGGAATTTGCCAGTGAATCAGTGTAATTGGAAAATATTGATTTGTTGAGCACAAAATGCTTTGTATGAAACATCAGAGGTTAGACATGCTTTCAGGAAAGGCAAGGCAGGTTTCCAATGGAAGTTTCCTATGGCCCCTGGTAGACTGTCCCAGGGGCCAGAGACCCTGCACTTCCAAGTTGCCTTAACAGCTGGAGACTTGGTGCTTTCAGCATCCACAGTCCCACAATACACCTGCCATGTAGACTACCAGGGCAATAAAACCAGACTTGGCAGGGTCAGGGACCAGTGACCCGTAGTAGCTAAGGCACTTTGCTTTGTGTGTTTCTTCATCTCAGTTCTGAATGACATCAATAATTTTCATGGTTTTGAAGCAGGGCAAGTTCTTCTGAAGTATTTTCAGCTTGCTTGTTTGTGTTGGCCCAGAGTTTCCAGCTCTAGGACAGACCCATCAGGTGGCAACAGTAAGACTGACAAGAATGTCAAGAATCCCAGCAGTGAAGCTGATGAAAATGTCAGTGTAGCAGAGCTGCTGCAAGAGTCAGGCAGCATATCTGAGTTCAGAAACACTGTATGTCAGTATCTGAAACAGAAGTTGGAATTTCTGGTTTGTGGGAAATGTTGAATTGAGGTTTGGTTTCAGCCTGGTTTGGATCCAACCCAAATGTTAAAAAATTCTTGCAAACCAGAAATCCTACTAATCTGAGAACACCACCTAGATCACATCTTTCTCTGTGGGTGAGACCAGAGCAGCCAGCACCAAACCTCCCCAGGCCTTTAATGTTTGAGCCTGCAGTATAATTACTGGGATGACCTTCCAGATTGCACACTGCAGTTCCATTCTGCCCATGTAGGTTTCTCCTGTGGTTTTTGGCTGAGATTATTCTTTTTTTTCGTGTCCTTAATTGCTTTTGTGATGTCAAACAGTTGTTATGCTCCATTCTAAACTATGGCTGCATTTCAGGTGTGGGTGAATTCATTCCTGTGTGTGTGTGTGCATGCGCGCGTGTGCATGCACATGTGTGCGTGTGCACACACACTTGTAGGAACAAAGTATACACACACTGTAGGCTAGATTCCCAGGGGGCCATTGCCTGTCTGTCGGTGCTGTGTAATCACTGATATCCCCTAGTACTGTCTGTGTGAAGGAGCATGAGTATACATATTACAAGATTTATTCCAGGCCAGATCCTCATCTGATGTAATTAATTCAGTGCACCTTTATTGAAATGGTATGTGCATGGATGTACTTGTGGGGGAAGGGTATGTTTCAATTCCCTATTGTGTGTATGTTGCAAAACCATATGACAGATTTAATATATTATGTCCCTTTTGACCTTGTTACTTGTTAACTACTCACTAATCCAGTTCCCTTAGCACTTTAATACTCCAAACCACCGAGCAATCTCAGATAGCAGTTTTAAAAATCAGTCTGCTGCATGCATGTTTCTTCCTTGTTCCCATAAATGTAGACTGTTCCCCACCTATAACCCAAAACCAAACAAAACCCCCCACTTATTTCAGGATTGCATCTACCTAGCACCAAAACTGAGCAAGGTTCTAAAGTCATAATGTTTTATCCATAGAAAATGGCTACATGGCCAAGATGATGGAAGAGTCTTTACTTATTTAGGAAGGGGAGCAGCTTGTCCGTAGAACCCCAGGAGATTTGGACTTTGAATTTCTGACATCTTATTTAGAGGTCATTTAGGTCATTTTGGGGGTTTTTATGCCTCTCCATAAGCATCCTGCAATTGGGCACATGGCAACAAAGGTGTTTTATCTTGTGTCTGTGCACATATGAACATTTGATAACCTGTAGGTTGTTCGTGGCTTTGATTGGATGCAAGTTCCTTTTAAAATTTTCTGATATATTTTCATTTTGCTTGATTGTGCCTAATACTCGAGGAGCAGAAAATGCTTGATGTTCTCAACGGTTGTGTCTGCTAACAAGAATAAAACACACACATGCTAAGTCTTAACATCTCTCATCCAGGCTGTTTTCTTTGGAGTAGACTAAATCTGCTAAAGATGTTAAGTACATAGCAGAGCAGATTCCTGAAGCTTCCTGGGATTTGCTGTTTGGGCATCAAGAACCTCTCCTACCCTTGAGCTAGGCTTTGCAGGCCTCAGTGTAGATCATAGAATTAGCTGGACGAGGAGATATTAAGTGTCGGCTGCAGGTAAGAGGTCCTAAATAATACCATTGTAGCCACGCTGACCTAGGAACCTTTGGCTGTGTGGATCAGAGACTGCTCCATAGTAGAAGATATCACTGGTTGTTTGGAATGTGTGATAACTGTCAGTGGTTGGAAAAAACTCCAGTAGGATCATGGAAAAATAGGGTTTAGAAGATGGCTCTTTAGAAAGTCAGTTAGTCCAGTCACCTGCTGAAGGAAGGATTATTCCTGACTAAGCCATCCCAGGCAAATGTCTGTCTAATCTGCTCTTCAGAACTTGCAAGGATGGGGATTGCATGAATTCCCTAGGTCGCCTGTTTCAATGCTTGAGCACCCTCAGAATCAGAAAGTTCCTCCTAATCTGTAATATAAATTTCTCCTGCTGAAGCTTGAAGCCATTGCACCTCATCTTGTCCCCTATGGTCAAGGAGAAAAAGCCCATCTCCATCCTTTCTGTAGTCACCCTTCATGTATTTGAAGACTTATCAAACCCCTTCTTCAGGCTGAAAAACCTTAGCTCATTCAGCCTTTTTTCGTAAGTCTTGCCCCTTCATAAGTCCCAGACCCCTGATCATTTTTGTTGTTCTCTGCTGGACTCTTTCCAATCTGCTCATGTCCTTCTTGATGTGTGGGGTCCAAAACTGGGCACAATATTCCAGGTGAGGTCGCACCAGTGCAGAATAGAGTGGAAAAATTACTCCTTTTGATTTGCAAGTGACCCTCTGGTTAATACAAGCTGTTGGCCTTTTTTTGCAATAAGAGCACACTGTTGGCTCACAATGCCACAGTCCTAAAGCTGAAGCTAAGCTCTAATTGATGGGTAAGAGGAAATGCCCCATCTGAACAGGGTATTCCACAGTTGGCTACTTTTCTCTGAATAGTACTGTTAAGAGACTGGAATGGTCACTGTCCTATCTGGTGTGTAAATCATACATATGTACTAGGAGAATAAAAGCCTTCAGTGAAATGGGTGCCAACTTGATCTTGCTGTTCATCCAAAGGCATGCCTGTGGAAGCAGCCTGCCAATTTTCTGAAGGGGGCGTAGAGATTAAGTAGCAACAAACCAGTTTGTAGGCCCTGGTTCTTGAGGCATCTGAAAGTAAGCATACCATGTGTGACTGATTTACTTAAAACAGGAAGGCCAAATTCTTTTCAACCACTTACACTTACATCAACTGAGCGCAGAATTTGTCCTTTAGGGACAAGACCTGAGGGCATTTAGTCCGTCCACCTGCCAGAGCAACGTGGGAATGCAGGGTAATGAACCATGTGCTTTGTGCAGTCCAATTGTGAGATGCAAGCAGTGATGCCGACACCCTTTGACATTATTCTATAATCTAATAGATCTCACTGCTGGGGATTTTTTGTTGATGTTTAGCTAAATGCTTCTCTCTCTGTTTCAACCTATCCCATGATCCAGCATCTTTTGATTTATTTATTTTTTTAATATATGTGAATGTTATAGGTGGATCAGTAGTCTTGTGGAACCCGTGAACTAAGTAAAAAAGGAGGGAGACATTATTACATCAAGAGCCCTGACAGGGATTGATGTGTGTAATATATATATAATACAAATGTTCTATCTAGAGCATATCTTTCTGGAAGATTTCTCCTCCGTTCATAGAATCACAGGCGAATAAGATTGGAAGGGACCTCAGGAAGTCATCTAGTCCACCTGCCTCACTCAAGGCAGGATCATCCTTGTCTGAATCATTCCAGACTAATGTTTGTCTGGTCAGGACTTGTCCTGATAATCAAAGCTTTCAGATAGATTCCACAACCTCTCCAGGCAGTGTATTCCCATGCTTAACCTACCCCCTGATTGCCCTTATATGGGGGATCCTTTTTCCAGCATGCCATTCTAGGAATGGCACTCTAAATACAGCAGAACCCAACAATTGCTGCCCTACAATAGCAATCTGGTTACTGCTTGTTTCAGTTCTGTAAGACCTCTGATCTTCTGTCAGTTTATCATCCAAGTTTCCCTTTCCCATCCAAGGCATGGGTTTGGAAGCTTGCTCAAATCCTATACTGCTCTCGAATTTATTGTGCTTATTTTATTTCAGGTAAGTTAATAAAGGCTTGTCCTTCTCCCAAGATGCTTTTATTAAATTGGAAAATGTCACATTCTCATGCATACATTTACACTAATGTGATTAAACAAATTGCTTCTCCCACCACAACTAACAGACCTTCCAGCACCTTAGGAAAACCTCTCAATATGTTAAACAACCTACTTTGTAAATGTGTGGGGGAGAGGATGAGTTCTGCAGCATGTCTTGAAGGTTAACAAATGTGGTGGGACCAAATTCAACAGTTAATAGGACCCAGCTTTATCAGTGATTTGGATGGGGGAGTGAAAAGCTTGCTGGCCAAGTTCGTGGACAACACCAAGTTATGGGGCAATGTGGTCACGCCAGAAGATAGGTTGCAGATACAGGCAGACTGGGACAGGCTCGAGAGTTGGGAAGACTGGAACCAGATGAAGTTTAACACTTCTAAGTGTCAGGTGCTCCATCTGAGAACAAATAACCCTCAACATGCATGCAGGCTCAGTGGTGACAGCTTGACTTGCACCACGGCCGAAAGGGACTTAGGGGTAATGATTGACCATTGCATGAATATGAGCCATCAGTGTGAGGTGGTGGTCAGCAGAGCAAACAACATGCTGGCATGCATCAACTGATGCATCTCTTGTAAAATTAAGGAGGTGATACTCCCGCTCTACTCAGCACTGGTGAGACCGCAGTTGGAGTACTGCATCCAATTCTGGGTGCCGCACTTCAATAAGGACGTGGAAAAACTTGAGAGGGTCCAGAAAAAAGCCACACATATGATCAGGGATTTGCAAGGCAAGCCATATGAGGAGAGGCTGATGGACCTGGGCCTCTTTATCCTAAAGAAAAGAAGGTTGAGAGGGGACGTGGTAGCAGCTTACTGCTGTATCAGAGGACTGCATCAGGAGGTTGGTGAACAACTGTTCACCAGGGCACCCCTGGGGAAGATCAGGACCAATGGATACAAACTCCTGGAAGACCGCTTCAGGCATAATACCAGGAAAAACTCCTTCACAGTTGGGGTGTCCAGATTGTGGAATAAACTCCCTCCAGAAGAAGTGCAGTCACCTACCCTGGAGGTTTTCAAGAGGAGACTGGACAGTTGCCTCGCTGGGGTCACCTAACCCCAGTTGTCTTCCTGCCTAGAGCAGGGGTCTGGACCCAATGATCTGAGGTCCCTTCCAGCCCCTAACAATCTGTGATCTATGAAACTGGCTACTCCTTCCCCTGTTAATGATAAGGCAGCTCCAGCCTGATTATGTGCGAGTCACAAATGTGACAGTATTACAGAGGGTCAAGGGGAGAGATGGTCTCTTGAGGAAATGAGTCCCAGAGTCATTTGGGACCTTAAATGTCTGATAGTACCACCCCATTAAAAGACACCTGCATTTAAAGCAAAGAAATAAGGTCTACAGCCCCTCCAGAGCTTTTGAGCTTAGACGCACGGTTTTATTTTAAATTGGAATAGTAAAAAATATCGTTAATTTTGTTTTCCTTTGAGACTCTTGTGCCTGCAAAATGGATGACTGACAGAAACAGCAAAGACTAGATTCTACGTGAACTATAATTAATGTAACCCAGCGTTGCCCCTGGACACTTACCCCGTAGATGCAGCCGGCATTCAGCTTACTGCAAGCCGTTTCTGGTGCTCTGCTTTGGGATTGGCTAATACAGGCTGTTGCCTTCACAGCTGAGCGATGGAGGCATACGGATTCTACACAAGCTTGCTCAAAGTGCAAGTCCAGCTGGGTCAATAATTAATTAATTATTTCCCTTTTAAGACAAAAATAGACATTTTCTCTGTCAGCACGTGTCTTTCACATGCTCCCTGAGTAAAGATGTAGATAATTTAGGTTAAGTTGAGGTTTGAGCTCAAATTCCATTGGTTCCAGATATGCTGGTTAAATTATTGGTTGGTACATTTTTAAAAGTAGGTTAAGAGCCCTAGGAGAATGACCTATTTTTGTAACTGAAACATTTAGCATACAGCAGGATTGCTGCACTGGAGCAGACCCATGACTAATCTTGTTAGTATCCCCTTGCTGACAGCAGTTAATGCTGGATACTTCACTCGAGTGAAATCCATCCTGTAATGCATCTAGTTATGCAGTTCACTCGTATGCTAACACGCCTGCATGTACAACTCTACCTACAGTCACATGTGTGCGTTTGCATAATGGTCCATGTGGTGAGGTTTGAAGATCTCATTCCCATGAGACTGAGGTGGCCACCTCAGTCTCGTGGGCGGTGAAGCCACAAGTGATGGAGTGAATCCCAAACGCATCAGCAAAATCTCATTTCAGCCCCACCCCAGGTTGTATGACTTGCTGTATATTTAACAAGAGAAGCTATTTAAATGTGTTTAGAAGGCATTTAAAATGTCTGTGGGTGCTACTTTGTGTGTCTTTTTCCATCTGAAAAGGCAGGCTGCCTTAACACTATTAGCCCACCCATGTGGGTCCCAAGAGGAGAGAGAGAAGAAAAAAAACCAAACCTATGCATTAACTAAAGATCAGTTTATGTTGTAAGGTGACCTGATTTGACAACAGCTGTCAGCCTTTAATCCAGTCATTTAAGAAAGTCAGTCAGAAGTAAGCTTGGCTACTGTGCTCGTCCCCACAGGAATGAGCCTATTTTTGTGCTATGATAGTCCCATACTCCTATGTTTAAAATGCTTTTCTCCCCCTTGTTGCTTTGCTAAAAGCCCAAGAAGGTGACTGACTTGGACCCCACCCCAGCAAACATTTACACACACATATAACTTGGTGCATATGAGAAGTCCCATTGAGACTCACGGACTAATTTACCATTACAACAATTAACCTAACCATAGGAAAAGCCGGACCCTATCCGAGGAGCTTTTGCCCTAGGGCTTGGTCTTCTCAATAGTTTTTATACACAGTAGACTAATTTCATTAGGGTGCAGTTAAATTGGTACAACTCCAAGTGCTGATGTAGTTATGCACTGGTACGACACAGCTGTATACTGGGATTTCTCTACATTTACCAGAAAGTATGGTATGGGACTAAGAATCTTTCCCTGCTGGAATGGAGATGAAGGACTGAGATGAAGGACTGTACCCTTCAGCCTAGTTTCAAGCCAATATAGTTGTTAAAATGGACAGAAACTGTCTGAATCCAGTTCAGGCTTAACTTCTGATAGTATGAAGGAAGAGTGCTGTGCTTGGGTAGAGCTGAACTGAAGTGAGTGCATCTCCAGCAGCAGCAGCTTACAGGTTTGGGGGTTAAACGCAGGGTTGGAAGATTATTCCTGTTGCAGAGATTATGTGGTGTGGCTGGGAATTGAGTCGGTGTCTCCCAACACAGTGTCTAGACAACCATCCTTTCATCCCAGGGCGGGTCTGTATCAGCGACGTGAAGGGTGCTCACAGTGAAAGGCACTGTACCCACTCTGCACATTAGATCCTCATCGGGTAGTGAAGCCATTTTAGTGAAGTGTTGGGCACGTGCCAGTAAACTCTTTAGAGGGGCAGAATATAAGGGTGGGCACACACCCAGGCCATACTAAGTTGGCTATGTTGCTCTTGGTTGGGGAGGTAGAGTACATGGAGCAGGCCCAGTGCATCTTACTGGGCTGGTACAGACAGACCTTTATGGTCAGTAACTGCAGGTAGTTTTAGAGATTTCATTTAGGAAACTGCTAATTTTTTCACCTAAAGGGGGTTAATTTGGTTGTGTTCTCAGATCATAGAACTTACAGCTGAAATTGCAAACTAATGCTTTACAGAGGGGAACTTCCAGCTTTCCAGTGGCAATTAAAGATCTTTTTTCCCCACCCCCTTCCTAAAGGTTAATGAGATATTGAACTTTAAACCCATTGCTAGCTCAAAATGAAACATTGCTTGCCTTGCTCCTCTGACCAATATCATTTGAATAGAAGAGCTACTTTTCTGTGAGAGAGGGCAAAGGAAAAAAATATTTTTGTGGTAGTTTTTTTGATGATGATGACTGATCAGAAGTTAGAGTTAGGCGTATTTCCAGTGGCAATGAAACAGCAGGCAGAGTGCAGGTGAAAAATGCTGGACAAAACAAGTGATCCAGAGGTTCCTCAATTTACCACTTGGAGCCTAGTGTGTGTGGTGTGGTGAGTGACAGGATTCCCTGGCAGACAGGTTGGGGATGGAGATTCCTCTCCCCTCCATTAGGTAATAGTCTATAAGCACTGAAGTATGGGGAGGAACAGGCTTTATGAGCGTAAATCCTGATAGTGAAATTCCAAGAGACTTGATTTGATCTTTGAGAAGTATAATACTTTTGCAATATGTTTGTCTATAGGTCCTTGAAGTCCATGAAAATTTGGACAGGCAAATGCAAGATAACTATGAAGAAGACCTGAGTGAAAAGGAGAAAGCAATTGTTCGTGAAATGTGCAATGTAATACCTCTCTCCATATTTGTAGCATTTTTTGTAGCATTGTTTTGGTTCTACTGTAATCCCTACCTTGTAGCCTCTGTTCTGTGTGCGAGTCCTGTTTGCTTGTTTTGTTTGAAACCCACGGAGAAATTCAGTCATAAGAGGAATAAATAGAGGCTCTGCTAACTTCCTCTGTGGGCAGGAGCCACATATCAAATACTAACACTTGATTTGATGCACTTGGCAACTTTTGTCTAGAAGAAACATACGGTTGAGCGATCTTAAAAGATGCAGACATGACCAGCCTCTCAACCTGTGTGCAGGAGTTGCTTGTCCCATAGTTCACCTGCCTAGAAGACTTCAGTTCTCAGCCCTTTGCACTGACTTCGATTTGGAAGGAGAACTCTTGCTGTCCCTGGCCTGAGATCAGGACTCGTTGCTTGTGCTCCAAAATAACCTGCAGTGTTGTAAAAACGTAGTCATTCAAACAGAATGACGCTGAATCCCGAACCACTCTGGTGTTAGAATTAGAAGCCTCTTATTTGAAACTCTTTGACACATAATTACATGTGGTTTTATTTTGTTGGCACCATTAGCGTGTTTGGCTTAGCAGCCACATTGTAAACTGAGGTTGCCACATAATGTAAACTGAGCACTAGATGCCAGAACATTGCTGTGTCTGAGGTGCATTTACTTGCTGCTGCTGCTCTATTACCTTGAACTCCAGATGTAATTATTTAATAAGAAAAATGACTTGGGTGTACACAGCTGATAAACAGTGAGCTCTGAACTGCTGCTAAAATATTGCCCAATCTGAGTTGCATGCTTCTGAGAGTTTTTTTTTTTTTTTTTTTCTCCACAATAGCAGACTTTCCAGAGCAAGGGTGAGGACTCTTGGATCCTTCTTTTTGAAATCTATATTGCAGGTCAGAGCATT